GTTTATATGTTTTAAAACAAACAAAAGGGGGGAGCTTTTCGGAAATGACTAAACACTGAAATCTTTTGCTGCAGGATGCTGTGGAGGCCAATAGTATGCATGCATTTAAAAAGGAACTAGGCAAATTCATGGAAAATAGATCTCCCAGTGACCACAGACACCTTGGTACACGTGTGACCTCCAGTTCAGCGAGTTCATCAACTCTCTGGGGGCTGAACATAATATAATAGCACAAATAGCATTATGGTTGATTCATTTTTTGTACTGTTTTCCCTAAACATCCATTATCACCCCTCCGCCTTCCTAGGGCTTGGTATCAGGGTCTTTGGACCTTTGTTCTCACATTATCACAGCGATGATGCTCAGTATTAAATTATTCTAGAATTTCTTTGCTGCTGAGAAATTAGGGCTTGCAAAATGTGTACTCCACTGTCTGTGATGTTTGATATACAGTTATGGAAATGGCATATTGGAAACTGTAAAAATTATTCAGGTTAAAAGGGTTACCTAAGTGGCCTGCATCTTCACAGTAGCTAAGCAAGGAGATATGCTACATGAAATATTACATACCTCCTTTCGGTACCTGTGATACGTAACTGACTTTTCCTTTTTTTGCTCAATTTTTATCCGGGGTACTTAATATTGTGATACTATGATACCACATCATCTGACAAGACTCCTCAGTCTAAAGGCAAGAACCTTTTCCTCTTATAAAAAGAGCCAAGGAAACTGTTTCACCGAAAAGAGGATAGAGCCATAAAGCAGATTTCTGGAAATCTGGGAGGGCCCTGGGGGACAGATGAAGATATCAGTGTCCTGTACACATTTCTGTGCAGGCAGTATTCTCTACTATGCAAGGCAATCCAGTGAATATAGATATAATATTAACAGCCTGTGGACCTAGGTTGCTCTGTAGGCTTTACATTTCTCTCCGTTTGTTTGTTTCTGCAACCCATTTGCCCTTGGACAGGAAAGATTTTCAAAAATATTTGTTCAAATGTCTCAAGCTTATTAGCAATGTTATCCGATGATTTATGTAGCAGCTTTCATAATCCATTATTTTTCCTGCAGAAGCTCATTGTATTTACATGGCAAGATATTGAACTTGCCCAGTGAATGCCATTTTAAATCAATTTATTTTAAATGACAGAAGCTTGCAGACATTCTAATTTTGGCTTAATAGCTTACTTGCATTCTTGATAAATCAGTTTCTGACTGCTTAAGCCAAAGAAAAGCAAGCCATTGAAAAGCTAGTTTAATTAAACTAGTTAAAAGTAATTTGGGCTACACTGATAACATTTGTATCATAGAGCCCTGGGAAAATCAGAACGGTTCTCCCATTCCCAGTGCTAGTGATGGGTCACTGTCTTGCACACTTACATGGCTGTGTATTAGGGTAACTGGCTGAAAAGTCAGGCTCCCTGTTTTGTGCAAACATCTTCACTGCTTCTTTGTGTCATGTCACACTTTTGTTTCTGGTGCTCAAACTATTTATGGATTTCATAATACTGAGTTTTGTGTCACTGGGTGGAAATCACAACAGTTGCTTCTCACAAAAACCCACCTCAGACTCCACTGTAACTGCCTTTCTCCTTTAAGAAATTGAAGCTAAGTATGTGACTAGGTGACAGACTGAGTTTTGTGTCTACACTGACATACAGTGTGTAGTTTAAAGGTAGGGATATTCACTAGGATGGAATCAGGTAAATGAATTTGCTGCAGAGGCACAGGTTGCTTTTAAGTCACCAGATTTGGCTGCTGTCACAGTTTTTCTTTTTTTTTTTCAGCTGGTCTGGCTCTCTAATTGAGCAAGAGCTGTATTTTCTAGGATAAACAAGTAGGAAAGAAAATAGACAGAACCCATAGGAATCTGGGGGCATCTTCTCTCTTTTTCTTCTGCTCTCTGTCCAGCTCCCTCCAAACCTCTTTTTACAAGCTTCCCCATTAGTCCTTCCCTACACTTCTTGATGGGAGGTACCCTACTGCATGTCCTACTCTTTCTTCTCCTCCAAAAGCAGGTAAACTTCATATGCACATGATTGATTAACTCACATCTACTTGTAGAGATGCAAAGTGCTAAGGATGAGAAGTCCCTTCTACCTCACTCAGTGTGTGCAGCACAACTCAACAATGTGTAATGGGAGAAGTGAAACCCTGCTTGCTCTACTGGCTGTTCTTATCTGGTGTTACTCATTACTGATATAATCCAGGATAAATGCTAAGAACGGATTATTGATACTTTGAGGCTGCAGGCCAGGAACATTGATTAAGCACTGGAAAATAAACAAACCAACAAAAAAAAAGCAAGGCAATGATTTGGAAGGAAACTAATGCCCTGGCTGTGTACTGTTATTGGAACAAAAGCAGACATGAGAGGAAAATATGTTTTCTTTTTCAGTAACACAGGCAACAACTGCCTGCGTTTGATAACATTTTTAATTTAGCCTCCAAGATAACATGCAAGTCTAAGAAGATTTGCTACCTAGTTTGAAACAATTAGTATGTTGTTCATCTGTCATGTTTTATGAAGAAAGGGTGAGCTGAGCAGAAAGGTCCTCCTATCCTCTTCTCCAAGGCATGAGATAACTTCATTAAAATTTCTTTTGGAAGAATTGACCTGGGAAATATTTTTGTTCAAAACAAAAACAAATGTAAAGCATCATGAGACTAGTCCTATCAAGACTGTAGAAAGGATTTGGAGATCTGACATAGGGTGAAAATGAGTAGCTGAGTAAATCTAAATTGATAAAATTTTGGTAGGTAAAGTTCAAATACTCAAAGATTTCCCTTTATGACAAAAAAGTACATTTAGGACAAAAGAAGAATGAACAAGTTTGACCTGTGAATAAAAATATGTCCTACCCCATTGCTGAAAACTAAATCACGAATATAACAACAAAATAAGCCGAGTGAACAATTTAAGTACATTTGCTATAGGTAGTACTGGAAACTCCACATTCCCAAGCACAAGCTCCCCCATGCCTGTGCAATTATAAAGTCTGCTCATGGCAGCGTGTCACCCCAAAAAGCATGTGGAGATTTAGTAATGCTAAAGCTACAGATGTCAAAGCTGAACAAGTTCACAAGTGTCGCTGGAACAGATCAGTCCTTTGATTGTACAAAAGCTACTGGTTCAGTGGCCTTTGAGAGACTAACAGTTATTGTTGCGATGCTTTTGAAACAGAGGGCTTTCTGCAGGATCCAGTGGGTAATTACATACCTTGTATGGAACAAATTATTGCAATTTAAGAATAAAGAACTTGATCAAGCTCCCGATGATGTCAATAGGAAAACATCACTTACAACATGATTCCACAGTGTGGAAATGTTGTTTCACAAACGAGGACTGACCTCACCCTTTCATGTGTGGTTTTCTGAAGATTCTTGGGTTTAGGACTATAATATGTCTTTAGTTTATTGCAAATGTTCACCAGAATGCATTTATTAAAAGTCTGGTGAATGACGTCCACCCAACGTCAGTATTTATTGTATTCTTTATTCCAAGGGATGCTACCATTTTTTAATAGATTGTGCCTGTTTCTTGAGAATGAACTTACAAAGTAGGAAACAATTTTTGTCCTGTTAAACCTTAAGACTAAGAGAACACCTCTACAGTAAAAAAAAAAAAAAAAAAAAAAGAGGCCAGTTTTAGGCCACTATACACTGAGCTTTTGTGCACGCTGTGCAAGGACACTCCTCAAGTCCACGGCTGTAACAGTTTACAAGACAGATAATCACTATTAACAAGATTGGTAGCACTGAGTGGAAAACGGTTTTGAAAATTGCTCCATCCTGGGCAGCATAACCCATCCATGCTTCAACGGTTTAAGTGCAGTTGCGTCCCAGGCTGTTTTATAAGCAGATGGGTAAATAAATACTACATAGCAAAGCAACCTAGCAAAATCCAGTATAATGACCATATCGAAGGTGTTACCAAGCCTGTTAATAAAGGACAGATTAAATAATGCATGAATGATTTTTAACAAGCTTTTTGTATCCACATGAAACTGTCAGTCAGCATTTAACCTCAAATATGTAACTGAGATGTTTACAGTTGAGCCAGAATATTAAACTCTTAGAAGTGACACTCATCCGTCTCCAGTCACTAGCTTAGATCTCATCACAAAGGAATTCTTTTGAAAAGCTCCTCCAAATTACGGTCATAACTCTAATGGTCAGACAGATGGTTTGCAGTAGTTAGGCAAAGAAAACTGCCAGCATTATTTTCACAAAATAAACCTCATTGTGTTTTCTGTAATTCAAAAAGATCTGTGTCAATCTTGGGAGAAGTGCAGCTGGGAATCTTACAGTTTCCTTACATTTTATTTTGTCATCTCTTGAGTGACATGTATTTCCCATGGCAGAATTAATGTGTAGTCGAATAAAACGTCTTGGACACTATTCTTAATCTTCACAAACCCAGATGAACACTGTGAATGATGCTTAGCTTTTCCAGCCTCCTGCTCTCTGGTATCATGGCCTTGTGTCATTCCTGAATAATTCCATTTTATGCAGTAGTTTCATCTCATCTCTTTTGTTCTTTGTTTTTTGCCACGGCCATTTCTCTTGGCCATCACTCTGCATTACTGTTTCACATTTATTTTTCCATGGATAAAACCTCCTCATTCTAAGGGTGAGATAGCTGAGGATATTTGAGGTGTTTACAGTTTGGGGGGGCGAGGGAACCCGCAATAACCTCAGTGAGTCATGTTTTCTCATACAGTAAAAAATACACACTCTCCTAATAAAATGGAAACTACATACAGAGATACATCATTTGCCTATAAAAGTGAGAAAACACTTTATATTGAATGAAAACATACATCTAAACTTCACTGGATTTGAAATTTCAGTCATTGGCAGTGTTAGTATGTGCCAAATTCATACTTTCTGTTCTTTAGATGTCAAAATTATTAGTGCATTTGGAAACATCTAAGATATCAGTCTCATAACAGTGCCAGCTTTTTTTAGATACCTGAAATTTCCTTCATGTATTGCAGGTTGTCTTTGTCAGCTGGTGTAAAAGCTTCTGGGACTGTGGACTTGTGGCACTAGATGATGTGTCATTGAGCCTGGGAAGCTGCCATGGTAAGACCATGTATATTCGTCACCCAACAACTGCTATCCTTTTTAGTAAGAGTTCATCACATACCTTAATTTTCCAAGCCAATCCTACAGCTGCCTTCATCCCACTGTGGTTTCTTTTCTTTTTCCAATAAGTATTGCATAAATACTGTTTTTGCAGTAGCATACATACAATGAGGACTAGTTTGTTTGCAGGAGTACCAGCTAACTCCTAATGAACTGCACTGACTCCGGTGCACTTGTATATAGCGTTCCTTTTGGGGCATTACAATTTTTTTTTTTAAAAAAAACAAGTCTAACTGAGGGGAAAGCCGTTTTCCAGTGGCTTTTAGGAAACCAGGAATGGACCCATAAGCAGTATTTTCAAAACACAATATTATTATTTTTTGTCCAGAAGTACAGTTGTGCAAGGCCAAGGCGCAGTCCCTTATCTGAACTGCACTTCTCTAGTGAAGACAGATGAGTCGAACTCTCCCTCCTGTAGTGGGAGGAATTAAATGTTTCTGAGCAAGACTTTACCCTCTGACATGCAGAGGCTAACCTCTCTGAATGCACCAAAACTTCCTCTTCTGGGGCTTTTTGAGGTTTGACAATGCGATGATTGTATCCTAATCTGGAAACCATTCTCATGAGACGGGCATAATCTGTAATCCCATTCTTCCCCAGAATAAAGCCATGGCTTTGAAATGGTGATGGGGCTGATCTACCATGCCACTTATATTCCCATGTAATAATAACTTTTTAATGATCTCTTTCGATTGGATTTCATGCATTCAGGCAGCTAACAGAACAGAAAGAAGAGAATGCCATTTTTCTAAAGTATTTCCAACAGTTGTCTGTTTTACCTTTCTGTATTTCCTAAGTAATCTGGAAAGTAACCAAAGGTTCAGAACTGATACTTGGGTGTATAGTCCTATGAGGACTTGTCACTGATGGCAGCAAAAAAATGCCTGAAAAATGCCCCAGAGTAGGTGAGGCATCAAGGCTTCCTCCTTTCCAAAACGTGAAAGCAGCTCAGAGTGTCTACTCCTGAAGCACAAATTCAAATTGTATCAGAAAAGCTGACAGAAACTTCCTGGTGAGCACCTGAATTGTCAACTTTCCTTCTTCCGCATCATCTAATAGAATTGAAATAATGAAAATACTCCAGTAATTGCAGCTCTGTGGTCTCTCGTATGTGGTATTTGTATCTGGTGCCAAGGGGACATGAGAGCTAAATGAGATATTTGATTTCAGATCACAGAAACTACAATCTTTGACAAGACTCATTTAATATGCATGTTATACATGCTGCAGCTCATTAAACTTCTTGGGGTGCCAAAGTAATGAAGAAAATTACACTGGTAGAGCCCATGGTGGAGTAAGAGCTATGATGAGATAATAAACTGTACGAGATGTTTTAAAGAATAGTAGTACATGTTAGTGACCCAGCCGAGGGCACAGATTTCCCCAAAGCTGTGAAGAAAATGAAATTAAATTTTGTCCGTGAGTTTCAAGCTAGGTTTTATAAGCTTGTGACTACTGTAAGTATTGCTAGGTAGATAAAAGTGATTTCAGCAGGTAAGTGAATGCAATTCATTGCTTGTGTAATCTCTCTCTATATGTGTCTAATATATTTACAGTTTTAAAAAATGTCCTCTCCTTACAGATCCATTGCTGCCCAATCCTGGAGAGTGTACTTTTGAAAAAGATGAGTGTGTGTTTACCCAGAAGAAGAGAGGTCGTGGGAGTTGGCACAGGAAGAGGGGTCCAACTCCCACTTCTTACACTGGACCAAAAGGAGACCACACTACTGGGGTAGGTGAGTTAAGCTCCACGTTGAACTTTCAGAACAGAAGATTGATAGTTTATCAAAAATACTTTGAAATTATAACCTAGAGAAAGTTTTTACTGTTCTGTTTAGAACAGTTACTAATCAAATGAAGTAAACATGTTTCTTAGGGACCCACAGATTGTTTTGAGAACCATAGAACCACAGAATGGTTTGAGTTGGAAGGGACCTTGAAGATCACTCAGTTCCAACCCCCTTTTCTCTTAGAGTCGGCACATCGAGCTCCCCTGATGTTGCCAACACCCAAGGTTGCCTGGGAAACTTCTGTGGAATGGATTCCTTGCGTACGCACTGTACTCTGCTCTGTATCTTTCCTTAACGTGTGAACAATGCTGTATCTTTAATATAAGTTTAATTTCCAAGTCACCTCCAGTAATCATTCCACACCCTTGTCCTAGTGCTACACTCCCTGATAAAGAGTCCCTCCCCATCTTTCCTGTAGGCCCCCCTGAAGTACTGGAAGGCCTCTAGAAGGTCTCCTCAGAGCTTTCTCTTCTCCAGGCTGAACAACCCAACTCTTTTAGCCTGTCCTGAGTGCTCTAGCACCCTGATAATCCTTGTGGCCCTTCTCTGGACCCGCTTGAGCAGGTCCATGTCTTTCTTATGCTGGGGGCCCCAGAGCTGGATGTGGTACTGCAGAGTAGAGGGGCAGAATCACCTCACTCGACCTGCTGGCCACGCTTCTCTTGATGCAGCCAAGGATGCGATTGACTTTCCGGGCTGCAAGCACACGTTGCTGGCTCATGTCCAGCTTTTCATCCACCAGCACCCCCAAGTCCTTCTCCCCAGGGCTGCTCTCACTCCACTCGTTGCCCAGCCTGTATCTGTGCTTGGGATTGCCCCAGCCCAGGTGCAGGACCTTGCACTCGGCCTTGTTGAACTTCATGAGGTTTGCACAGGCCCACCTCTCCAGCCTGTCCAGGTCCCTCTGGATGGCCTCCCTTCCCTCCAGCGTATTGACCGCACCACACAGCTTGGTGTGGTTGGCAAACTTGCTGAGGGTGCACTCAATCCTGCTATCCATGTTGCTGACAAAGATGTTAAACAGCACAGAATGTGGTATTTAATCTGAATTATCTGCAGACTAAGTGGATAATTCGGTCTTCATGTCACAAAGTAGCCCTTTCCTTTGGGAGAAAAAAGGGCAGAGTGACTATCCAGATGCTGCAGAAAAGCCTTCTTCCAAACGCCTAGCTTAAGTGAATATTCCCTGAAACTAAAAGGCGAACAAATGGTTGGGGTGGTTGGGGGCTCTTCTGCATCAACACCTTCCTATTGAAACTTAGAAGAAAACATAGATAACAAGAGGTCCCGCAGACCCTTTGTCTTGAAAATCTGCTCCATAATCTCACTTGTGTAATTTAAAGTATTTAGGTAGGTGGGGCCCCCATTACCATGAGTGAGTACACAGAAAACTGCATGAGAATTGCCCCCACACTGGCGGCAGTGCCTGGTGACTTTCGGAGATGATGAACTGTCTCACTGTATTGGGTGCTTGTGGTCCTGCAGAACAAGACCTCAGTAACAACTCCACTGACTTCAGTATAATGGATGAAACTGCCCTAAGGCTTGTGAATTTTAAATGCTTATATAGGTTTAAAAAGGCATTTAGGGCCTTTGGATTTGCCCTCCCTCACCGTGGTTAGCATTCATTCAACCAGTTATAAACTCTGTTGGAGACAAGCTGGCTCATTCACAGTAGCCATCTATCCAGTTTGTTAAAAATTTTAGCTGGATTACAAAAGCAGTTGGCCTGCTCAAAAGGCTCACCGAAAGCTATTATTATTCTGTCAACTGTGATAGACTGTAAACCACGTTAAGCATTATCAAGCATAGTTATTTCAGCTGTGCGTATGAAGTCTCGCTCTATGCAAGCTTAATTCATTCCACTACTTCGTTTCAAGTTCACAAAATAACAAATGCTTCTAGTTAATAAAATAACAAATGTTTTATCTTGTTTCTGATCTCTTTATCTAAAAAGATGGCTTTGTGCACTTTCAGGAAAATCTCAATTTCCTATCTCCTGGTAAAACTTCTGTAATAGCTGTGTCCTGAGCAAGGTGTGGAAACTGGCTAGAGAGATGTAAATTCATGGTGTGGGGGACTGTATGGCCAAACCCTACATGTGGAATTGAGAATGCAGATGGGAGTGTTTCTCTTTGGCATGAAATTTCAGATCACCAAGAAATTAGGTTCTTCAGTTGCTAATTCTAAACAGTGCTGACTCTGGGTCAAAATATGAATAGCCTTCAGAGATAAGTAAGTTTTAAAGCTTAAAACTTCTTTTATATGTTATGAAATAAAAATGAGAAACATTGCTTACAAATCTGACCATATCCTGACCAATCTATTGGCTAAGTTATCTAAGTGGAAAATGTAGGCTATCTACAAACCAAGAACGTTTTCCCAATAATGATACCTTTTTACTGTGGAATGATTTTCAAAAGGGAATATTGAAATTCTTGTCCCTTTTCCATTTAAAAATTAGAGTGAATTAGATGACATACTGTCTGTAAGTCTTTGTTATCCATGCTGTCCAGTTCTTCTGCATCAACTAGACATGTGATCACCAGCTTTAAAATAAGTGTGAATTTTTCCTAATGGTTTTTGAAGTTCTGAGAATTTTTATTTTGAAATGTGGGTGAGACTCTTGAAGAGGCACCCGTAGGCTATCACTGTATTGTCTGGCAGATCCTTCTTTTTCTACAAAATACAATCCAAAAGGACTACACGTTGAAGTTGCTTGTTGTTTTGCTACATAACCAAACTCAATTCCATAAAAGGATTCAACATTCAGGTTGGTTTGATGCTTTTTCCCCCTACCGTGGTTATTCCCTAGATAATATATTTTATTCTTCCTCTTTCAAGTACTCAATATCCCATCTCTTGTGTTTCCAAGGTCAATAACCCTCTCCTTATGGTAGGAACAATACTTAAAGAGTTTCTTGCTCAAGACAAGGGATGGGCTGTTAGCGCCATTTTCTTGATTTCTAAGGCAGAAACTGATTTTAGACCTATTTTCAGTTTATGTAGATCACTTTTAGTATTCTGAGATCTGAGGCTGATAGCTCGACTTTAGAACTGATGAAGCAAGAGAAACTTTTAAGCCTGGCAGCCTCTGACAATGTTATTCCTTATTTCATATGTCTCTTTGCAGCAAGATGTGCTGAGAAATACGTGGATTTGAATTCACAAAACCAAGAGCTGATCTAGTCTTTCCAATGAGTTTATAATATGATTCAGGCCTTAGAACTAAAGGCAAGTTAGTTTATTATGCTGTAGTATGAGCTGTAGGTTTTGATTTTTGACTCAAGGAACTTTTAAGCATAGTGAACACCTAAATCCTTGCAATGGCTTGCACTAGTTACAAACAGCCTTCAGAATTCTCCAACACAGTGTATGAAACTATCTTATATTTACAGACCTACAGCTGTAAATAATCTTCCTTTTCACCCTTTCTCTCCACTGCTGCTCACCACCAAACTACAACCTGGGTTAGATGGAATGTCTTAAGCAGGGCTTTGTGTAGATAATAGGACTCTGAATATCATGAGAGAAACCCCGAGCATCCACTGGCTGCTCTCGCCACTTTCAGCTTTTCTCCTGCCTCACTGATCCTTAGGAATCCCCTCTCCCCTCACGAGCAATCTCACCGCCAGGACTTGCAGTGGCAGAAGGGCAGCTTGTTTTCTCCAACACCACAAAAAGGGAGCAGAGGACTGCACGAAGAGCTGCTACAAAATCTGAGTTCACTGCCCACCGGCAGAGTGTACATCTGAAGACACGGAACAGCTGCCATGTGCAGCAGATGGGATGTGGGGATGCTCCTCCGTCTTCTGACACACCTCAGTTTGCTTCCGTGGGAAATAACTGAATGATGGATTGGGGTGGGGGGTGGGGGGGAATTCATTAGCCTACAACCAATTAATAACTAATTTTTCCACAGATCAGAGTTCATGACAATCTCTTATTCATTCATGGATTCTAGAGTCTAGTTTTCCTCACTTGTGTCTTCACATCTTGATCACAGAAAGAAAAATATTATTGAATGTCATATGTGATTTAAAAGAGGTATTTAAATTCATTTGCTTTATTAATAGCATCAGTTCCAGCCATTGCCTAAACTGTACCCTCAGCTGTCTCTGAATTCCAATTAATTGACCACAGTCAGAGTGTGTTCTGGGATTAAGAACAGCTATGATTTTCTTCTTTGTATTCTTTTCTGTTGCTATTATTTCATGAGATATAAACAAAATTTTAAGTTGTTTTATATTAGCATTCACAAATACTAGCATTATTACACCACACAAATACTACAATATCACAAATATTACAGTTCGCAAATACAACAGTACGTGGCATAAAAATCCTTATCAAAATAGTTTCAATCATAGTTTTTCATATTATGAGGATGTTGAGTGTAATGAACATGTCGAGAGAATGTATTCTACTTTGCTACTATTTGCTTGTATTATCTTTTTAAGGATACTACATGTATATAGAGGCATCCAACATGGTCTATGGACAGAGAGCATACCTAGTTTCAAGATCACTAAGAGGAACCTCTGGAAAACAGTGCTTGACATTTTTCTATCACATGTATGGAGCTGGGACTGGATTATTAAGTGTTTATCTAAAAAAGGAAGGTGATGATGAAGAGATTCCGTTGTGGAGGAGGACAGGAGAACAAAGCATCTCATGGCTAAGGGGACTGATAGAATATGAGAGTGATAGAAACTACCAGGTAAGACAAAGAAAAAGCAGTCAAAATGGAAAAAAAAAACCAAACAAAAAGGCAAAATGGAATATTGCACCGAACTATGGGCTAGAATCCAAGTTTTGGGTTGTATAAAAAGAATTTAAAATGTTAAAATGTAGATAGCATTGAATGGACACCTGATTAAGCTGAAGTAATGTGTAATTTCTTACAAACGAAGGCAGGGAGGAAGTTCTTAAGGACTTCAATAGGTTACAAGTGTGAAAATAGTTAATGAATTCATTAATTTTAAAAGAAATAAAGTATTTAAATGCTGTTTTCACATTATTTCTTGTCAGTAGTGGTAGTTTTTATTTAGATCACTTGTGCAATTTCTTTTCCTTCAGCAGTCTAAATTCCTGTCTAGATTTGACATAATCACTAGGCTGTGATAAACTGGCTGCTTCTTGCAGGATGGTCTTCCTGAGGTGGCAAGGTGAGGGATAATGCAAAGCCAGAGCTCTGCCTTTGGCTTCAACAGTGCCATCATTTCAGTATTGCAGAGACAAAGCCTGCTTCGTTTCCCTGTCAAAGAGGAAGCTGAAATTGCTGTGGTCTGAAACAGCACTGGGCACAAACCCACACTGATCACTAACCAAAGATGTTGTGTGGGTTTTTTTAATCACTTTGCCTTAAGAGCCTGGAAATTAATCAGGAATAAAAAAAAAAAAAAAACCGAAAAAAACCTTTTACTGAAAAGCAAGTTTAGCTTCACCAGTATGACTACAACTTAATACTGTAATGCTTTTTTTCCCCCCTCAAGTCTTGGCTTGCATATAGTCAACACACAGAAACACATTTGGGCTGAAAAGTGAGATAGAAATGCCACATCAGCAGAGAAAATTTGTCAGTGTTCTGTAACACACAGCAATTTCTTAACAAATTGTAAGAACAAATTTGCTTCCTTTGGCATAGCACACACCCAGAAGATTCTCTGACCAGGGAACTAGTCCACTGATGGAGCATAAAGATTCTTTTCCAAGAAGCAGGCCTTCAGGACACACTAGATCCTTGGATAGACTGCATAGGTATTATTTTTTTTCAGCCCTTCCTCCTCTGGGATTCATGAAAAGCTGTACCTTACCTTTACAGATTATTTTTGAGGCGATCCGCGGTGTGTCAATGAGAAGTGACACTGCTATTGATGATATTCTGTTCCAGGCAGGACCCTGTCTAGGTAAGTTTGAACATAATTTGTTTCTCTTAGGACACACCTAGCAATTCACAGTGCTTTTTGTAATTAGACAGGTGATACTTCTTCCCTTGAATCCCCACTGAATGGATCTGAATTTAGTATCATGCTGCTGGGTTAGTGCACAATTTTTGTTTTCTAATAAGATGTGAGACAATCCTCAGAATCTGGACTAGAGTAAAGATGCTGTAACACTTTTTAAAAACCATATGGCAGTCCGGTTTAAATCCAGCACGGTAATTACATTCTGTCTTATGCATTCTTATGTATGATAGAAATTCAAGTAATTACAGTATTTCCCCCTTCTTTGTATTCTAGAAGTGGAAGAAATTCAATTCTCATCAGGCTATCCTGACAGCTTAAACGAAATTGAGTATTAAATACAGTCTGCTGAAAGGAATGAAGTGCGTAGAAGATTTGTAAGAAACTGCACAAACTGCCTATTTTAAAATATGTTTTAAGTAAATACAGGACTGGTTTGAATATGCACCGACATATAGGAAAAACTCAGCGCACTCATGTTCCTTGCCTTTGCAATGAAATTATTGACTCAGGGCTTCTTGACTGTTTTTTTAAAATATTTTTTCTCTTTTGCATGAGGTATCAGTTATTGTATAAAGTCCTCCCATGTTGCACAGATCATTCATTTTAATGCTTTATATTTTTTTTAATCTTTCTGGTATATAGGTAAAAAGAGGAAAGTAAAGGTGCACAATTAAAATCCAATATTGTGTTATCTTAAATCTGCATTCAGTGAATGTTTTGTGTTGGGTACAGAATGGATTTTTGTTAAGGAATTATGTATACTTTTAAATAATAAAGAAAATAGTATTAGCTACTAGTATTAGCCACTAGTAATAACCTACAGGTTAAGTGCAATTATTCACGATGACAAATCTCTCTGGGAAACTCTTAACACTGCTCGCAATTTTTGTGATTTTGTATTCTTTTACTATAACAAATGTATTTGTTGTCCTTGACAATAACAAACTCACGTTTAGCGTTCCAGTGTAATTCAGTGTAAGCTGCTGACATTTTGAACTATATGAAATGAAACCGTGTTTTCTGGCATACAAGTAATGGGGATTTTTTTATATCAGTTTGTATACTCACAGAGAATGTACATACACTTTACACAACCACAGATGCCTTGCATTAATAGGAAACTGAATTCACACAACTTCGTAATTTTTAAGAGTTTGTGTTTGTGTGTAAGATTTTGTTTTGAAATTATTATAACTTCCTAATAAAATGTAACTTTGAAAATCATTTCATTGCTCTGCTCTAGACTTTATAGTTATTGTTGTAAAGAGAAACAACTGAACCCAATAGCCTGAATTCATACTTCGAATACAAGAGAATGAAATGTGTGGGTCACACCACCTAAGACAGCTGACAGAAAGCAATTTGATCTACTGCAGGAAAATCCTGTATTGAGCCATACAAATTATTCTTACAGCAACCACATTCAAGCTGTTGCTGCAAGATGTAAGCCCTGAAAAATGGGACTAGCCTTTGCTTCTTTCAGAACAAAGTACACATTTTTGCTAATGGCCCATAATGATCAACAGCACCTAAGACATTCTAGCCCCTTGCATCTTTAGCAAGTTTTCACTTTGGTGACACAAACAACTGAAGAGATTGTTCAATTAAATACACTGAGTACTGACATGTTTATTTGACCACACAGATTGAGGCAGTCTATTATTTCCTAGAGACTGAGGAAGAGCCAAAAAGAATTGACATCTTAACAGCCTATCCTAGTTACCTACAGTCCCCATTGACAGCTGGTTATGAACAGATCACTCTTGCTGCTATTCTGAAAATGAAACCAACTAGAAACAATGGACTGTTTCCTAAGAGTCAATACAGCTTCACAGTTGTTCTGTAAAGCATATGCTTTGGTATCAATGTTCAGAAAACAAGCAAAAATGAAGTGGTTAAAATCATCAGGCTTGATGTTTCTCCGTACTTTTGATGGGACTTTTCTGAAAATGAAATGAAGCACAAAGTGTAACTATTGGATTCCTATCTCTAACAATTTATGTAACTCTAGTTCACTTCAAAGTAATCACATAAGAATAAGAACACAAACAAAGTACTCTATTCTGCTCTCCACTGAGCGTTCCCTAGGGACCTAACTGGTACAGTGATTTTGTTGGCGTTGCTGAGGATAGTATTTATCCACAGGGTGTGAAGCGCTGTCCTGACTGCAAAAAAATCGCTAAGTTCTTCCTTCAGTAGGGAACAACAGCACCTTTCCACCCTTTTCTGCTGCAGGAATTAAGGAACAGAGGCAGAATTTGAAAGGTGGCTTTAAATTACTTTAGTGCCTGCTGAATATCAGTTTATAGCATATGAAATTCACAGACTAGTGAATGCAAAACATCCAAAAACTAGGGAAGGTGCATTAAGATTTCTCCATTGGCAACCTCCAGTTTTATGGTGAGATAAAAAACACTCCCACCAGCTCTGTCCAAATAATAAACTCCCCGTGCAACTAGTTTCTGCCCTCCATCCATTTCTATTTACAATTTGTTCCTTTCTCATTGCTGCAGTAGCTGTACAGGGTCCACAGCAGGGCAAAGAACAGTTCTGAGACTTGCTATACTAGGCCTGGTTATCGTCTGAAAATTTCTTCAAAAGCTACTGGAGAACCTATAAGTAATTGCTCTGATTCCAGTTGTGGCGGAGTCCATAAAATGGAAATGAAAAACAAACCTTTAAAAGCAGCTATAACACCCCAAACACTAACAGGTTTGTATTTGATTGCTCTAAGTGTAGCTTTGCGCTGGAATTGAACTTGTCCTGAGATCAGAGGAAAAGCCCTTTTATTGCCCTCTTGTTTAATACTCTTTTTATTCTTTAAATGTTTTCCATTAGTTGACATTTTGTCATTATCCTTATTTATTTCCAAAAAGAGGGCCAGTTCAGAGCTCAGTTACACCAATGGAAAACCAGAATAACAACATAAAATATCATTGTTATTCTAGCTTTATCCTAATACAAATGAAACTGTATTCTGGCTGACTACAGTGTCACACCAAAATAAACCTAACATAAACCCTACTTTAGTCATGAAGCTTCACTAAGACAGCTCAAGCTGAGCACTAAAAGACCTGACATTTTTTCTAGCTGAATCTGAGCACAGCTCACAAGGGTGACTGCCCACACTCAAGAGACCCACTGCTCCAAAAGGACCACTGTGTAAAGTAAAAGACTTTTCCTGCAACATGACACATTGAGTCAAAAGATTCTACCCGTCACATTTTGAAAGAGAAAACACCAGTCTTACCCTACCTCAAACAAAACACTAGGTGTGAGATGTTTATTTACTTAATTTTAACTTTTACTTTGGAATAACATTTCAGTTTGTGATTTCAAGTTTTTCAGTTGCGCAAGTACAAACAAATAAACTTTCAATACTCCCTTTACATTACTTTGATCTATATTTATCTTGGTGTTTTCTTCCCATCCTTCACCTGTTGTTTTCCTGTCCACCTCCTGCACCTTTGCTTTTCCCACCTGCATATGTTTTTTCTGAACATCAGCATTTGGGTCCCTTTCTTAGCCAACTACATATTCTGCTACATTCCTTTACTCACTGCTAAGTACTGGGTTACCTCTTGCTGCTCTTATATTCTATATTAGCTTTTACACCCTCCTTTTCTTTCAAGGACTCTTCTTGGTCCAAGCATGCCCACTTTGTGGCCTTCAGTCTCCTTTTTCCAGCTCTTAACCAGCATCCGTACTCACCAGATCCTGCAAAATGCTCCCTGACAAATTCTGGAGAAAACAGATCTCTTGAGCAGTCTCCAGTGGGAATATGTTGAAATGGTTCCTTAATTTACCGCCACCTCCTCTTTTGGCTGGAAGTCACTGTCCATGTTGGTCTGCAAGCTTGAGACATAACTGATTTAGGAGACTACAATTTTTACTGATCACATAAAAAAATGCCAACTAATAAATCAACTAATTTTCTAACTACCGAATAGACACACCAGTGCTACTAAGTTACAATGATACAATTTCGCACTCCATTACACAGCTATTCTCACAAATCTTATGAATGACACACTTCCAATTTTACTAGCCTTTCCCTTCCCTATCGCATAGTACTAGGGTGCATTTCTATGCTTCTTTATTATTCTACACAAGTCTTCTGGACATGGATCAGGTGGAGAGTCCGGTGGGCTATCCAAAGTGGCTGTTTGATGTCCTGGTGGGCTTGGACATGCATTCATTACATCTGTGGGCCTCTGCACTCATACTGTTGGAGCACAAGTCCCCTTCATTCTTTAACAGACCTTACTCTCTCTTCACCCATTTTTTCCCTGTATCTGGAACAACCTTTTCACTGCCCTTGTACCACCCTTTATCTACTTAAATTCACCTCAAAGAAGCAACCTGCCTTAAACTACTTTTTCCTTATTGGTCCCAATTCTGCTACAATCCATACCCACAGACACTTTTTTGATGTCTTTACCACGGCAGTCTTGGTCTTTGCAGAATATTACCGACACAGTTGCTTAGGTACACGCAGCCTTGCAATCTTCCACATGCCCAGTATCTGGTTCACATTGGAAAAACATATTCCTTCAAAACTTTCTAGGACAAATCACTCTAGTTATGTGTCAATTCCTTTACCTAGTTCCACTTAAGTACAAGCAGTTTCTTATCTCTCTCTGTCTTTCAGCAGTCATAATCAGCCTCCTGGTACCTTGTAGAAGTTTGGGCTAGCTATGAGGCCTTGTACTCCAGCAGGAACTCTTGGTCTGAGAGAAGAAAATACAGCATGTGGGAAAGGTAAGGCATCTGCAGGAGTCTTGACACTAGCGACTGCTCTGCAGTCAAAATACCAAAATCTCACACACACCATCTTCTAGGAACATTTCTAGAGAACATCTATCCTTCCTACAGACTTCCTGAGCTCTGAAGTTACACACGTAAAAAAAATGTTTTTCCTGTTGCTTTGTTAAAAGCTAAGAAAAAGTAAACAAACCCAGACCAGTGCTGGAATAGGAATGCAGGAAGACTTGGCTCGCTCGAAATCGAAGCCTGGGCCCCTGAAGGAAGTGGGATGCCTAGGTGCCCACCCCTGAAACATGTCCACCCAACTGCTCGGCTGTGCTGCCACCTCGTGGGAACGCTGCGACCCTCCCGCGCGGCCTGACGCTGCCCAGCCACCGGGGAAAGGCCGCTAGCGATGGTGGGCGCTGACAGCCGAGGGGGCCGGGGCCTGCAGCCCCGAAGCCGCCCCAATCCCCTCCCACCCCTCTCCAGGTCTGGGCCTCCGGTGCCGGTCACGTCTCTCCTGAAGGGTGAGCACTGGGGGGGCCGCCTTCAGGACCGCAGTGCAGACACCAGCACCACTTTCCCTCCGCGCAACGTCGGACCCTTCGCGCCCCGCGCCGCCCCAGCGCAGGGCACGCCGGCCGG